GCATAGGGAGCTCCACCGAAGGCCCCACTGGCACCGTCCACACGCGTCCGCCCCACCCATGTCGGCACACCCCTCATACGTTTCGTGGCCACATCGGGAGCTCTGCCCAAGCCCCCAATGGCACAATCCACGTGCGCCCGCCACACCCATTTCGGCACACCCCTCACACGCTTCGTGGCCCCATAGGGAGCCCCACCCAACGCCTCAGTGGAAACGTCCACGTGAGTCCGCCACACCCATCTCGGCACACCCATCACGCGTTTCGTGGTCCCATAGGCACCTCCACCCAAGGCCCCAATGGCACAGTCCACGTGCGCCTGCCACATAAATTTCGAAACACCCCTCACACGCGTCGTGGCCTCCGTCCACATGCGTCCGCCGCACCCGTTTCGGCACATCCCTCACACACGTCGTGGCCCCATAGGGAGCTCCACCGAAGGCCCCAGTGGCACCGTCCATATGCGTCCGCCACACCCACCTCGGCACACCACTCACACGATTCGTGGCCCCTCGGAGAGCTCCACCCAAGGCCCCAATGGCACCGTCCACACGCGTCCGCCACACCCATTTCGGCACACCCCTCATACGCTTCGTGCCCCCATAGGAAGCTCCACCCAAAGCCGCAATAGCACCGTCCACATGCGCCCGCCACGCACATTTCGGTACATCCCTCACACGTTTCGTGGCCCCATAGGGAGGTCCACCCAAAGCCCCAATGGCACCGTCCACATGCGTCCGCCACACCCATGTCGGCACACCCCTCACATGTTTCTGGGCCACATGGGGAGCTCCACCCAAGGCCCCAATGGCACCGTCCACATGCGCCTGCCACACAAATTTCGGCACACCCCTCACACGTTCCGTGGCCCCATAGGGAGCTCCAGTCAAGGCCCCAGTGGCACCGTCCACATGCGTCCGCCACATCCATTTCGGCACACCCCTCACATGTTTTGTGCTTTTATGAGGAGCTCCACCGAAGATGATACTCACGACTGCTGTACTCACAGCTGCATATGGTTGGGTCCTTCGGCAGGCTAAGTTGTTTGTTGTATGTTCTTGATGTTTCAATGGTTTACTCCCCCCTCCCCCTCCAGGTGAGGAAGGGAGGGGCAGTGGAGGCGCATGGGGGAGGAGGAGATACATTGGAGCAGCCCTGTCTCTTCTGCGTCCTCGGGGGCAGAAGCGGAGGAAGGAGACGGAGGGAGGAGGATGAGAAGGGGGAGAGGCGGAACAGGAGCTGCCAGGAGGGGGATACAGGGGATGACGAGGAGAATGTGGTCGAGGAGTCACTCCTCCCCATCTTCTCTTAAACATCCTCGAACTTCCACAGGAGGAGGGGCAGATCCCATATAAGAGGATTACTATGTAACCCGAATAAGATACGCATGTGACTTCAGTCGAATCGGAAAAGATCACATATGCAGAAATTGCCATTGCATTTGAACCGGAGTCTGATACGGTCTCAAAAGGACATGGAAAATATCCAAATTCTTGGGGACTCCTATCTATTGATTCTGGATGGGGTTCTAAACAAACCGCAATAGAAAAGGAGCAGATCTAGATCAAATAAGAATTCATTCGATCTAGGATCTGCTCCATTTATATTGCGATCCACTTCACATCCGACTCGAGTCCGTGAGGAATCCTCTGGGTCTGGGTTCTGCTCTGTTCCTCTTGGAAGTACATTAAAACCCTGTTCCAATTCGATCCGAGATCTCCTGGATACAAGACCTACCCAGATGACGATCCGAATCAAATTCAATATGAATCCTCTGGGTATGGGCTCTGCTCTATTCCTGTTGAAATCTGGTCAGGACCTTGATCCAATTCAAGAAGAATTCTCTGGATATGGGATCTGCCCCGTTTCAATCGGAATCCGATTGGAATATGATTCAAATCCATTCGGAAACCCCTGGGTCTGAGATCTGATCCGTTCCCATTGATCCGGGCTTTTCTACAATTTGATAAGGCCCCCCCTGAGTTTGGTGTCTAGATCTGTTCCGTTCTGGTTGAAGGTTGCTCAGAAACCCACCCATGTTCAATATGAACCCCCTAGGTCTGGGATCGCTTCCATGTCCCACTGAGACCGAATCAGAATCCGATTCAAATTCAATGAGGATCCTCTCTATATGTGATATGTTCCGTCTCGGCTGAAACCATATGCGTATCTCATTCGGTTTACATACTAATCCTCTTGATCTGGGGTCTGCCCCTTTTCCCTTGGAGATCCGAGAATGCTGAGGAGAAGGGTGGATGGGGAGGGGTGACCCCTCGACCACCTTCTCCTCATTATCTTCACCCTCTCCTGGCAATTCCTGTTCCGTCCCTCCCTCTTCCCGTCCTCCTCCCCCTCCGTCTCCTCTTTACTCCGCCGCCGACTCGAAGGACGCAGAAGAGACAGGGCTGCTCCAATGTATATCCTCCTCCCCCCCTGCGCCTCCTCTGCCCCTTCCCTTCCTCACCTGGAGGGGGAGGCGGAGGAAAACCATTGAAAAAACAAAGAAAAATATCACACACAAAACAACGATGATTTCTGACGAACTTATGGGGAGGGGAGGCGCGGGTTTGTTCGAAAGCAAAATGTTGTGGTCATTTCTGTATTTGCTGTTTTAAATGTTTTCAGGTTGTTTGCAATTTCCCAGCTTTCTCATGTGTTCGAAGGTGTTCAAGGAGGGAGGAGGAAGAACGGATCAGATCCCAGATCCAAAGAATCCTTCTTGACTGTGAGCGACGGCGACGGATTTCGCAAGGGAAAGAGCAGATCCCATATCAAGAGGAATCCTGTTAAATTCGGACCGGCCTCTCATCTGATTTCAACAGAGATGGAACATATCCCATATCCGGGAGATGCCCATCGAATTGGAATAGGATTATACTCCGCTCTCCGTGGCAATGGAACAGATCCCAGATCCAGAAGATTCCGCAAATGAGGGGGAGGACGAAAGCGGAAAGAAGTGTAAAGCATCGAAGATGAGGAAGATAAGGAGATAAGACGAAGGAGAAGGATGAGTGATTTTGTGAGCGAAAGGAGGATGAGGAGGCGGATGAGTAAGAGGAGGACGATGAGGCGGATGAGGAGGAAGGAGGCGGGAGGAGGGAGGAGGAGGAGGAGGAAGGAGGACGAGAGACGAGGAGAGAAGCGAGGAGGAGGGAGCAGGAAGAGGAAGAGGAGCAAAGATAATGATGGTGAGGAGGACGCCCCCCCCCCCCCCCGAGTCCGTCGCTTGGGGGTGCTGGGGGGCCGGGGGGGCAAGTATCTTTTATATACATATATATATACACACATACATAGACATCAAGATCACTCGACGGATAGATCCTGAACCAGATCCGACGCTAATCGCAAACCGAACGCTGAACCCAACCAGAACGAACCCAAATCGCCCGATCCCGCGAAGGGTCGCCCTGCCGGTAAACGCGCGCGTACACATGTACACGCAAAGGTGTACATCTAGGAATGTGCACAGCGAGCAAAAGGAACAAAAGGCACAGCGCGTGCAGCTGACGTCCGCCAGGCGCTCTGGAGGGGGGGGGAGCGCACAGCAGGCAGAACGTCGAGAGGTCATGAGTAGACCCAAGGGGATAGGGTAACGGGGGGTGGTGAAGGCGGACGAGGAGGGAAGCACGAGGGAGGAGGAGAGCAACTTTCAGAGGTGAGATGGACGACAACGCAGACGAGGAGCAGGGTGAGGGACCAAGCGTCGTGGCAAAATCTAAAAATAAGAAGACTAGGTCTGGCGGCTTGTCCAGTAGTCGTCATTCGGCAAAGTCCTTGTTTGTGGCAGCCGTCCTCTTCTGCTAACACGCCATTTCCCGATGGGCAAGTCGCTCACCAGCCTCACAGCCCTCGCGATTTCGCGCGGTTAATTTGGTGAGCCTGGGTGACCTCGCCGACTGCTGCACCGACATGCACGCAATATGCATTGAAACAATCTACCAGGCGGCGCACGTAGAGTAGCGATTTATGCAAGCCTCCCACGGTGTGCATACACATCGACTTATAGCTCCACACATGCATACATTCATACATATCTATATATATATATATGCATTCATACATCCATACATGCGTGCATATGTACATCAACGCCACACATCTTTGACATACAAACCTATATACACTTACATGTACACACATACATGCATGCATACATACATGAATGCATATCTGTACACACATATATATATATATATGTATATATATAAATGTATACATATATAGACATGCATGCATGCATACATACACGCATACATACATACATACCTACATACATACAGACATACATACATACATACATACCTGCATACATACATACATACACACACATACATACATACATACTGTATATATACACACATACATGCAGGCGTGCATACGTGTATGCCGACATACGCACGCATGCATGTATACACACATGCATACATCCATATATACGTACATGTATACAGTCATGCATACATATATGCGTGCATGCATGCATACACATATATATATACATATATATATGCATAGCTATACACACCTACATGCACACACACGCATACATAATCGTACACACCTACATACGTACATACACACATGCAGCCATACATGTTTATATACGTGTATGCTAGCATACATTCATACACACATACATGCATGCATAACGCAACATGCCATGGCACCACACATGGTTATATGTTATATCATGACACAGCATAACATACAAGTATATACCATGCCATCGTATTTTGAGACTTTCCATTACATGCATGCATACATGCATGCAAGACAGCATCGGCGCTTCGCGCAATGCACAATGGTCCTTCACGTATACCATGCAGGCAGAATGAGAAAGAAGTAGAGCAATCAAAACAGCGATTGCTTTTGGTTGCTGATCTAGCCATCACCGTTCTCATGTTGTGATTCATGATCCTTCCGTCATCTGTCCTCGTCCGCATTCTCTTCCTCGCTCTCGCCTTGATTGCCCCACTAACCCTTCCCCATCCTCCGCAGATTTGTTTGCGCAGGCTCCTCCGAGGCGAGCTTCTGGAAAACCTCGCGAAAGCGTTCCAGGGGCTCCTTGGGCGCCTCTGGAGACGCCCCTGGCGCCTTTTGGCGACCCCTGCGGGGCTCCTCGAGCCAGCATGCCGCGAACCGTGGTCTTGGGTCACTGTTTGAATGCTTCTGGAGGGCGTCGTGGGGCAATTTAGGCATGGCATGGAGCCCTCTGTGGGCACCTTCTGGATCCTCTTGGGTCATCTTGGGGCTCCCTTGGACTGTCACGAAGCTTTTTGTTGGTCGTCGTTGAGCGATATTCGGTGCCTCTCGGGCGTTCTCGGACGCTTAATTCAGTAGCCCAAAGTCATACAGAAATCAATGGAAAAGAAACATATTTCCTGTATTTCTGAAGCCTCGTGGGGATGACATTTGGGCCGTCTTGGGGCGCCTGCCGGGGGTCCGGGACAGCTGGAGGCCATCTTGGACCGTCTTCGGGGTCTCTTGGAACCGCCGCCGACCCGTTTGCACTTCCAGAGGCCCAGAAATCTCGCGGGACCATCGGAAGAGGCGCCTAGGAATCCCGGACGCCTGAACTCCCGTGTCGGTGCTAGTCACTGATGCCGTGCGCACGGCGGGAGGCGTTACAATACACCCCCCCTGGCTCCTCCCCCCCCATAACGCCCAGTATTACAAAAAATAGGGAAACGCGCATCTGGACCCTCCCCCCGCATGATGGTGCGCGCATACTATAGCGATCAGCTGGCCATCGCTCGGACGTCCATTCCCTGTGTTTTTTTTTCGGCTTCGTGCATGGTCTTTTTTCTCGCCGGATGATCAAGGATGCTCCTCGATGGTCCTCGCCAAAAAAAATGCACACGTCCGAGCGATGCCAAGTCAGAGGGGAGGATGAGGACGACGATGACCAGAGAAACGAATGGATGAGCTGGAAGAGGAGGAGGACGAGGAGGAGAAAAGAGGAGAAGGAGGAGACAATGTCGAGCGCACGGGGGGGGGGGGAGTGGCGTTACGTTAGGGGGGGGAGGGGGGGCCAGGGGATATAATGCCCATTATGCCCCAAGCGATAAAGAAACACGCTCCAGCGCCCCCCCCCCCCCCCCGCCCACGCATGATCGCTACCATCACCCAGGGGGGGGGAAAGGAGTTTAGCCAGGGTAGCCATCGTCACTCGCCAGAGAATAAATCAATCTCGCAGCGAGGTTGGGGCTGGGTAAGTCTCAGGCCACATGCTGACTTGCTGGCCCGAGAAGGACAGGAGAAACAGAGGCCTTGGCTCATGGGTTCCGGCCCAGGCGCCTGGAGCGCCCCGCTCGTCACATGAGGCTGCAGTCGCCAGTGCAGTCCCTGCGATCGCCATCGTCCTCCTCGTCGGAGGAGCCTCTTGCCTAACAAGGAGGGACAGGCCAGGGAGGACAAGATGATAGGACAGGACAGGATAGGCTTCGGCCTTGCGCGCATGGGGGCAACATGAAGCTGCACACGCGGTGCGACACACTCGTGCACAGCTCCTACCTTTCACGATAGCATATCTACTATACGAGGTTACGGGTGACGCGCGCCGTGCAGCACTCCTCAGGTGCATGAGAGGCTGCACGCAGTTGTGTGCAGGCAGTCAGCAGGTTCAGGGGGGACACCCCTCTGGCCCAGGGAGGATAAGCGGAGGAGGAGAAGGAGGACGAGAGGGGGAGGGAGAAGGAGGGAGGAAGGAAGGAGCGGGGAGGGAGGAGTGAGGAAGGCGGAGCGAGAGTTGAGTAGGAACATGGGGGGAGGGAGAAGGGGGGATGGCAGAGACGAGGCACTGGACACCAGAGACAAGGGACAGAAGGCAGCTCCGCAGAAATGAAGCCGAATCAAACGTCTCCCCCCCAAAAATAATTAGTCTGGCGAAGGACCAAATCAGATGAAGCTGTGAGCAGCGCAGTCGTGAGTATCACCTTCAGTGGAGCTCCCTGTGGACCCACGAGACGTGTCAGGGTGTGCCGACATGAATCTGGCAAGCGCATGTGGACGGTGCCACTGGGGCCTTCGGTGGAGATCCCCATAGGGCCACGAAACGTGTGAGGGGTGTGCCGACATGGGTGTGGCGGACAAATGTGGACGGTGCCACTGGGGCCTCGGGTGGAGCTCCCTATGTGGCCACGACGCGCGTGAGGGATGTGCCGACAGGGGTATGGCGGACGCATGTGGACGGTGCCACTGGTGCCTCAGGTTGTGCTCCTTGTTGGGCCACGACACATGTGAGGGGTGTGCCGAAATGGGTGTGGCGGACGCATGTGGACGGTGGCACTTGGGCCTTCGGTGGAGCTCCCTATGGGGCCACGAAGCGTGTGAAGGGTGTGCCGAAGTCGGTGTGGCGGACGCATGTGAACGGTGCCACTGGGGCTTTCGGTGGAGCTCCCTATGGGGCTACGAAACGTGTGAGGGGTGTGCCGAAATGGGCGTGGCGGACGCATGTTGACTGTAGCACTTGGGCCTTCGGTGGAGCTCCCTATGTGGCCACGACACGTGTGAAGGGTGTGCCGAAACGGGCGTGGCGGACGCATGTGGACGGTGTCACTTGGGCCTTCGGTGGAGCTTCCTATGGGGCCACGACACGTGTAAGGGGTGTGCCGAAATAGATGTGGCGGACGCATGCGGACGGTGTCACTTGGGCCTTCGGTGGAGCTCCCTACGGGGCCACGAAGCGTGTGAGGGGCGTGCCGAAATGGGTGTGGCGGTCGCATGTGAAAGGCGCCATTGGAACCTTCGGTGGAGGTCCTCATGGGGGCACGAAGCGTGTGAGGGGCGTGCCGAAATGGGTGTGGCGGACGGATGTGGACGGTGCCACTGGGACTTTAGGTGGAGCTCCCTATGGGGCCACGAAGCGTGTGAGGGGTGTGCCGAAATGGGTGTGGCGGACGCATGTGGACGGTGCCACTGGGGCTGTCGGTGGAGCTCCCTATGGGGCCACGAAACGCGTGAGGGGTGTGCCGAAACGGGTGTGGCGGACGAATGTGGACGGTGCCACTGGGACTTGAGGTGGAGCTCCCTATGGGGCCAGGAAGCGTGTGAGGGGTGTGCCGAAATTGGTGTGGCGGGCGCATGTGAACGGTGCCACTGGGGCTTCCGGTGGAAATCCATCTGGGGCCACGAAACGCGTGAGGGGTGCGCCGAAACGGGTGTGGCGGACGAATGTGGACGGTGCCACTGGGACTTTAGGTGGAGCTCCCTATGGGGCCACGAAGCGTGTGAGAGGTGTGCCGAAATGGGTGTGGCGGACGCATGTGGACGGTGCCACTGGGGCTGTCGGTGGAGCTCCCTATGGGGCTACGAAACGTGTGAGGGGTGTGCCGACATGGGTGTGGCGGATGCATGTGGACTGTGCCACTGGGGCCTCGGGTGGGGCCCCCTTCTGGGGCTACGAAACGTGCGAGGGGTGTGCCGACATGAGCGGTGCGGGAGCATGCGGACGGTGTCACTTGGGCCTTCGGTGGAGCTCCCTATGTGGCCACGGCACGTGTGAGGGGTGTGCCGACATGGGTGTGGCGGACGAATGTGGACGGTGCCACTGGGACTTTAGGTGGAGCTCCCTATGGGGCCACGAAGCGTGTGAGGGGTGTGCCGAAATGTGCGTGGCGGACGCATGTGGACGGTGCCAGTAGGGCCTTCAGTGGAGCTCCCTATGGGGCCACGGCACGTGTGAGGGGTGCGCCGACATGGGTGTGGCGGACGCATGCGGACGGTGCCACTGGGGCCTTGGGTGGAGCTCCCTACGGGGCCACGCAACGTGTGAGGGGCGTGCCGAAATGGGTGTGGCGGTCGCATGTGAAAGGCGCCACTGGGGCCTTGGGTGGAGCTCCCTACGGGGCCACGAAACGTGTGGGGTGTGCCAAAATGGGCGTGGCGGACGCATGTGGACGGTGTCACTTGGGCCTTCGGTGGAGCTCCCTATGAGGCCACGAAGAGTATGAGGAGGAGAGGGAGGAGGAGGAGGAGGAGGAGGAGGAGGAGGAGGAGGAGGAGGAGGAGGAGGAGGAGGAGGAGGAGGAGGAGTAGGAGAAGGAGGAGGAGGAGGAGGAGGATGAGGGGGAGGAGGAAGGAAGGAAGGAATGAAGGACGGAAGTAAAGAATGATAACGCGGGGACCGTCTCGTCAAGACGAGGACCCGACGCCACAAGATGCTTGGAAATGTCTGACGAAACGCCCGACCATATGTAGTTGCGATTAACGCGTTGTGGGTGCCGCTTCCCGTGGACCACGCAACGCGTGATGGGGCGTGCCGTAATGGGTGGGGGGGACGCATGCGGGCACTCCAACTGTGGGGGCCTTCGATGGAGCTCCCTATGGGGCCACGACGCGCTGTAGTGGTTTGTGGAGGCGCATGCGGGCGGTACCACTGGAGCCTTCGGTGGAGTCCCCATAAAGGGGCCACGAAACGCTGGTCTGGGTGGTGGACGCATACGGGCGGCTCCACTAGAACCTTCGCTGTGGGGCCACGAAACGCTGTACTGGGTGTGGTGGACGCATGCGGGCGGTCCACCTAGGGCCTTCGGTGGAGCCTCCCATGAGGGCACACAACGCTATACTCGTTGTGGCGGGCGCGCGCGGGCTGTCCCACTGCGGCCGTAGGTGGAACTCCCTCTGGGGCCACGACGCGCTGCACTGGGTGTGGCGGACGCATGCGGGCACCCCCACTGGGACCACAAAATGCTGTTCTGATCTGAGTGCGGCGGGCACATGCGGACACCCCCATTGGAGCCTTCGGTGGAGCTCACTATGAGGCCACGGAACGCTGTGCTGGGCGTGGCGGGCGCATGTGGCCACCCCCACTGGGGCCTTCGGTGGAGCTCCCTATGTGGCCACGAAGTGCTGGGCGTGGCGGACGCATGTGGCCACCCCCAGCGGGGCCTTTGGTGGAGCCCCCTATGGGGCAACGAAGCGCTGCCCTGGGTGTGGCGGACGCATGCGGGCACCCCCGCTGGGGCTTAGGTGGAGCTCACTATGGGGCCACGAAATGCTGTACTAGGTGTGGCGGGCGCATGCGGCCACCCCACTGGGGCCTTCGGTGGAGCCCCCTATGGGGCCACCAAGCGCTGTACTGGGTGTGGCGGACGCATGTGGCCACCCCCATTGGGGCATTAGGTGGAGCTCCCTATGGGGCCACGAAATGCTGTACTGGGTGTGGCGGACGCATGTGGCCACCTCCACTGTGGTCTTAGGTGAAGCTCCCCATGGGGTCACGAAGCGCTGCAATGGGTGTGGCGGACGCATGTGGCCAATCCCACTGGGGCCTTAAGTGGAACTCCCTGTGGGGGCACGAAACGCCTTACGGGTTGTGGCGGACTCGCGCGGGCACCCCAACTGATGATGGCGATGACGGTTCTGCGGATGATGATGGCGATGGCGATGACGCTGACGATGGCGCTGCTGCGGATGATGATACATGGTGATGGTGATGATGATGTTGATGGTGTTGATGCTGGTGATGCTGATGATGATGATGATGATAATGATGCTGATGATGATGATAGTGGTGGTGGTGATGATGATGCGGATGATGATGATGATGATGATGATGATGATGATGATGATGATGATGATGATGATGATGATGATGATGATGGTGATGATGATGCTGATGCTGATGATGATGATTATGATATTGATGATGATGCTGCTGATGATGATGACACTGATGATGATGATGATTGCTGATGATGATGATGATGCTGATGGTGATGATGATGATGCTGCTGCTACTGCTGCTGATGATGATGATGATGATGATGATGATGGTGATGGTGATGATGATGATGATGATGATGATGATGATGATGATGATGATGATGATGATGATGATGATGATGATGATGATGATGGGAGGAGGGGGAGGGGGAGGAGAAAGGAGTGAGGACCGCGGGGCGCTGTCTCTTCAAAGCGAGGACCCAACACCACAATATGGTTGGGAAGCACAGCAACTCCCACCCAGCCATGACCTGGGCGAGAGTGCGCAGAACCTCGGAGGGCACGAGACAATGTCACGAGAGATGCTACATAATCCACCAGTCCTCTTTAGGGGGCGCGCTGGGCTGCAGGGCACCCAGCTGGCCTGCTGTACTCCTGGCGCCTCTGGACGCCATTTCTTATGGCGTCCGCTGCGTCCGCTCCCTTGAGTATTGCAACTGGCCTCCCAAATCCTGCCCCCTTTCCTACTGTCTACTGGGGGGGAGGAAGCATTAGAGATCAAGTGCAGGCTATCAGCCTCCAGGCCACTCGAGGGTGTCCAAGGCGAGCCCCCCCGAGCACAAGGTGGACCAAAATGGCCTCAACGCGGCCCCGAGTCGGTCCAAGACGGTCCCAATGACGTACCAGGGGGCGGTGGCCTCGCGTGTATTGTATCGAGCGTTCTAGGCTGGACTGGTCTGGACTGGACTGAACTTGAGTTGACTCTTCTGGACTGGATTTTGTCTCGGGCTGGACTGGTCCTGGGCTGGACTGGATTCCCACCAGCCCTCTGGGCGTCGGTGGTTTAGAGCGTTTCCTCTTCCACCCCTCCGTTTTCCCCTTCGGGGAGGGGTTTACCCCTCCCCCTACCCCCTCCCCACTGACCTGGACAAGGGGGGCGGGGAACGGTCAAAGCGTCCAAAACGGCCTCGCCGAGGAAGCCACAATCATTGATTTTACTAAGGTTTTGGCTCCATTTTGGCCCCCAGAGGGGGCAGCACTAATTGAAGCTCCCCTCTTCTTTGATCGATGTCCTCCAAGATGGCCCCAAGAAGCGCCCAAGAGGCACCAAGAGGCCCCAAGATGGCCCCAAGAGGCCCCAAGAGGCCCCCAAGAGGCCCCCAAGAGGATCCCAAACGGCCCAAAGAGGCCCCCCCCCGAGGCACCCAAGACGCCGAAAAGCCCCTCAGGACGACCCTCTACTCGCCTGGGCGTCGTTTCTGGACGGGCTGGTGGGGATACGCGAAGCGTCTAGAATTGATCCTGGACTTCTAGTCCTGGGACTGGACCTGGACTGGACCCGTCTGAACAGGACTGGAGAACCAGGCTGTGATGGGCTAAGCTGGGATGGACACTTACACGGGAATGCAAGACTGGCCTGCGCTTGGGCTGAACACGGACGGGCTGATGTGGGTTGGACTGAGCCCGTTCGGACCACCGTGGTCTGTACTTATCCCTGCTGGACTGGAAAGCCGCGAACTGAACAACACAATTCTGAACTGGATTGAGCTGGGAACGACCGCACAGGGCTGGACTGGGATAATCTGCGGTGGAATGGGCAAGTCTGACTGGGCGACTGGGCCAGCTGCGCTGGACTGGGCCTGATCATACTGGCACTACGGGGCCGACCGAACTGGACTGAACTGGACTTGACTGGGGCAGGACTAGGACGACGGGAGTGGACTGGACAGGACTGGGTTGAGCTATGCTGGACGAGCTGGGCAGGGGTTGCGCGGGCTGGACTCCTCTGGACTGGACTGGGCTCGCTGGGCTCGCATGATTTGACTTGACTGGCCTGGGCTGATTGGACTGCGGCATTACTCAAACAGACTGTGTTTGGCTGACTGCTGTTTTATATGGCTTCCTGCGGCTCCCTACTGTATCGTCGGACCCCCCATGGCGTTCTTGACTTCCAATGGCGCCCGTCGCTTCCTACAAATCCCAATGCGTTCCCATTTCGAATGCCTTCCTGCACATATTCCAGGACGCCGAAAGAGTCTCCGACTACCATGGAATGTTACGGAATTCAGGACCCGCATAGGTTCCCAAGGGTCCAGAGTGCTTCCTTGAATTGCCAAGGGCTTCCTGTGGACCCCGATGGCATCTCATTGTCCATACACAAATTCCAATGACCCCCATGGCCTCGCCCACTTCGAAGCTGTTCGAGCGGGGTGCAGCCAGCGAAAGCGGTGAAGGATGGACCGAGGAGGCAAGGAAGCGAGGGTACCCTTGGGAAGGTTGCCCACCCTTACTATGCGGGTTGACTGCACGGTGGGAGCATTGGATAAGGAATCAGTGGGTAAGGAATCCAGGGTCTCAAAGCCAGTGGAACTTCGATCGTGAACTGGCCATTGGACATCACCGCCGCCCTTCTATTTGATTAGGAAGCCCCCAGGGTCTGAAGCCCCCCGGGCACATTCCTTAACGAACGCCCCCACCGTATTCCCGCATCGAGTCGGAAGACGTGCAACTTTCAGCCTCCCGATGGCTCCCGTGGATTCTGGCGGACTTCCGTGGACTCCTGCGGCGCCGCCGGGGTTCCTGCAGATCTGTTACGGATCCCTTGTGATGCCCATCCTGCGTAATCTTGCAGAGTCCAGTGGGTTGATATGCGTGTTAGTGGGAGCCTCTTGTGCTGGAGGCCGTTTTTTAAATTGGATTTCCTTTAGAGTCCTCTGGGTTCCTAAGAGGCTCTTCTGAATTCTTCCTGTGCGAGCCAATGGGTTGTCATGGATTCCAGTAGAGCCAAACGACTCCCTGTGCATTGCAACCTACAGGAGTAGGCGGAGAGGCAGGCATCACATGCAGCTCAGTTCGGCAACGTGCTTGGACACGTCCAGCAGCCCTCTGGGCGTAGGTGGTTTAGCGCACTTCATCTTCAGACTCCCTTGTTCCCAATTGGGGAAGGGCTTGCCACTCCCCCTTCCCCTGCCCTGGTGGACACGAGGCATTGGAGCGTCTAAGATGACCCAGTCGTCGTGGATGGGCTGGTGGGGATACGCGAAGCCTCAGTATCAATCAGATGTTCTGGAGCACATTGGCAACATGCTCACGACTCGTATGAATGCATGCTGCCCACGTGTATGTCCCGTCCCGCACATACACACAAGGCACGCACGCTGGCTAAACACATGAATACGTTCATCGGCGAAGAAAGAAGGCCGACGCTTTCCATGCCGTTCAGGCGGATAGACAGCGCAAACAGACGCTTGCTGCCATGCGGGGCCCCTGTCACGAAACGAATGCCTGCACAAACAAAGGCAACATGCATGCGGCGAGGGAGTGGCCTGGTCGTCCCGCACCCAAACGTCGTCGTCGTCCCAGTGCAACTCGCCGTTCACGAGCGTCGCTTCGTATTTCTCTCCTTCTGCTGCGATGGCGGTGATGCTGTCGCTGCCTCGTACACGCAGAGCCCATGACTCCTTCGAAAATCTGGCCTTGGACCTGCGTATGCGAACCCTTTCGCTGCTGCCAGTGCGCCAGTCGCCGTCCAAGCTGTCGGCCGCTATAGCCTTGCGAGAAAAGGGAAATAATGCGAGGAGGAGGGGGATCGAGTGGAAGTCGAGGGAGGGGGATCTGGGAGGTCGCGGCTCTATTTCGCCCGCAGGTGATCCTTCGCCGCGGGAGGCCGCCCCAAGGCAAGCTTCGCCTTCTCCTGCTCCGACCCCGCTTCGTCGCCCCCGTCGCCGTCCTTCTGCCCCGCCTCCTTCTCATCCTCGCCGTCCTGTGGGAACATGTCCCTGTAGACTTGAGCCCGCTTCAGTGCTGCAGACATCGCGACGTGCAGGCAGAGACCCTGCTTCGACATATCCTCCTGAATGTCCTTGATGTTCTGGTAGACCTCAGAGCTCTCACCCTTGGACTCAGACTCGGCGTACTCCTCCAGCTTGCAGTACACGTCGATGGCGAATGCTGAGAGCAGATTGAAAGTAATGAGGGGTGACGCGATGTAAAACGACACCATGAAGAAGTGCGTTGCAGCCCAGTATGGGGTCCACGAGGGCGACAGGGACAAGCACGCGACAACCACTTGGTCGACCCAGCCACAGATCGTGAAGAAGAATAGGGTGACAAAACTCAGTGGCACATCGTTGAAACTGTAGACCTGGAAATGCGAACTGAAATAGTCCAGGTCCTGCGCATCTACTCCAGCAGCCTCGAACCGAGGATTCTCGCTGTACAGCTCACCGCCGAACAGAAGAACCCCACAGGAGCTCCACAGGTAGATCACCAGGACATTCATCAGCAGCACGTCCTTACAAGTGGCGACCATCCTGGCAATGATCCCACACGTTTCCTTGAACGCTTCCACCTGCGCGAGCGCTTTGAAGAGGCGGACCATCCTCACGGTTGAAAACCAAAAGCGCCTGGACCCATGAGGGGAACTAGCCAATGGTTAAAGGACTGGAAAGTAGCAGGAGCAGGAGGACAATGCTGAAGCCTGTCATTCTTCCCGAAGATCAATGGGGTCAGGATCGATCCTTGTGCCCTAGTTCCGTGAGATCTGTCAGTGCAACGATCGCACTGAAGAGCCATATCGAAAACCAAATTAGGGAGAGCCTTGACGATGTGCGCTGGAATGCGCCCCTGAATCCTAGCTCGACTTCGAACTGTGTTGGGCGCCACATCGGAACATCGGGGGGGGGGGGGGGGGGCCCCCCCACACGATCAGATGGGACAACACCTGTCCGGCATTCCGAATTCGGGGAGGAGGAGGAGGAGGAGGAAGAGGAGGAGGAGGAGGAGGAGGAGGAGGAGGAGGAGTTCCTGCACTGAGAACCTCTGCATGGAAAGGACACGTGGCTCGTGGCTCACCATTGCTCATGGGATGCCCCAGCCTCGCTCCCAAACGCGGCGCCGACGGTCGGGAGCCCAGCAGCGCGCCCAGCTCGCGCAGAGGCTGCACGCAGCGAGGCGGGCCACGTGGGTGGCTTCCTTCCGTTTGCCAGTTTGAAACATATCCCTATCCCTATGTTTGACACCACCTCACCTCGATGCCGATCTTAAGGATTCCCTCAATTTCTGAGGGCCTATCCCTAAGATTGTCCTCGCTTTTTGCTCGCCCATCTTAGGGATCGAGGCTGGTTATCCGTGGCCGGCTGGCCGGCGTGCGGTCGGAACGAGCGACAGGCCCCGCGAGGAAGAGCGCACTGCTGGGAGCACAGACCCCCTCGAGTCACGACGGGAGGTTTTTCTCTATTTTCGGCCTCCGGGGGCCCTTGCCGGCCCTCAGGACAGTCAAAAGACGACTCGGGATGAAAAGCTGGTCCCGGGGAATGGGTCCGGACCTCTGGGGGTCGCGCCATGAAAAAATCATGGCATCGGGGGTCTGGGAATGAGCCCCAGATTCAAGAACGTCGCTCTCTGCATCCCTCCCGGGGTGCACCTGGTGCAGTTTCTCACCCCGGATCCGTCCTCGACGGTCCCCGGGGCCCGAGGAAGGCCACAAACCTTGCCGGACCCAGCGCCTCGAGCCTGCCCTCCCGTCCGGCTGGCCCGAGCCAGTGCTGGGCCACCTCGGACCCCCCCAGCCGAGTCCAATCGCCACCGAGCTGCCCGAGGCTGCCCCATGTCGGGGGCGACGATGGGGGCGAACAGCGGAGGAGCGGGCGCTGCACGTAATCAGGCGCCCGGGAGCCTCTTCGAAGACATATATCATCGGCGCCCCTGGGTACAGGTATTTGGCCCCCCCTGGGCTATTCGCCCCTGCCGTCGCCTCTGACCACCAGCCACAGGCTCAGGAGCGAACGAGGCCGGCGGAGGCTCCGTTCATCCTCTGGCGCCGCGCGGGGCCCGCGCCGCGGGGGCGGCAAGGCAGGCTGGCGGCCGGCAAGGCAGGCTGGCGGCCTCGCGGCGTGCGCGGGCGCCGTCGGTGTCGCGCCGGCAGGTCGCGTGGACCTGCGCGGCGGCGGGGTCTTCGGCGGCAGCCTTACGTCGGGCCTGTCCTCCTATACAAGGGGGCCCTGGACGAAATATCAAGAATAGTCAGTCGAGATGCCCCCAAATGGTCAAACATGCTTGAAAAATAGTCCCCAGGCTATTGTTTAACTATTCCTGAATATTCCTCCTGTAGACGGACAGGCCCGACTTAATGGTAGCCCATGGGAGCCGCCCATGCCATCTCTTACTGCCTCCTGCGAATCGGCGCTGTACAGGACGCGAGTCGACGCGGCTCGGCGCATGATCGGCGCACTGCTCGACGCCAGTCGGCGCTCAGTCGGCGCTGTCGCGTCGATGCCCAGGCGCTGCCGCACGTGAGCGCACTCCAAAGACGGAGCTGCGGGACGCACGAGGCTGCAGCGGCCTGCTGCCGGAAGAGCCGCTGGAGCCGCGGTGGAGAGCCTGCACGCCGGGTCAGGGCGAGCGGCCGAGGGTGCAGGGGCCATCTTTTCCCATATTTTTCCTGGGGGGCTCGTCTCTCCCCCCCCCCCACTTCCCACAGTGTCC